GAAATCATATTACAAGCCATAAAATTTTCGTTATATCTTTTACAGATACGGCGGGAAAATCGTTTAACTAATATCTAGTAATATTGTAAAATTACACTAGCTACTGATTAACTATAGTTTCTGTTATCAAACGAAAAACTAACAGAAATTTATGGTAAAGAATCAGAACGAAGTAGGTATCCGGCTGTGCCACTCGACTGTTCGATTTTCGCATACCAACTTCAATATCCCTACTATGAATTTTCCAGATACTATAACGGGTTCTTATTATGGATAATATTTTTAATGATTTTATTATCGACATGAAGACATAATTATATATTTATAAAACTAGAAAATAGATTACATGCACACCCATGATATTAAGATGTATGATAGCGGGCGCGGCTTTTCACTCCGTACCGAAAGAAAACGATTTCGTGTCACTGATTTTTCATGTACTTACGTTATCCGAGAGCGTTTTCTTCGTTAACGGTCTGTAAGTTGTCCACAAATGAAACTCGCACTACCGATTTAACACAGAATCACGAACTTCTTATATTCTCGGCACTTTTCAGCTCGTGCTTGTCGCACGCCAACCGAGTCCGCCATCTTGGGGCAACCGCCAAATCTCCTCAGGCAAGACAATTGTTTCTCATAAAAATCACTAGGACTATATCTCTTTCTTTTTCTTTTTCTCATCCTTCTAACAATTAGTCGACTATATTTTAATTCTTTCTACTTCTTTTAAATTTATAAATCGAAACTATATGTTGCATCTATTCTGATTATATTTTCATATAATTTAATATGAATATATTCTTCTTTCTTATTTTTTAATTCAAATTTAATTACATCAATCAACATATTTTAATACATTCATCTTTAATGTCATAAAATACATTAGACAATTTTCGAATACTAATTTTATTAATAGTGAAATTATTTATTTATATAATTAATTTTTATTTTATTTTTTTATATAATATAATAAATAATTTTTGCATACATAGTGTAATAATTTCATTTGATTTTCAATTATATTATAATAAATTTTTTAAAAATAAAATATATATATAATATTATTATTATACTCAATATATATATTATATATTATATATAATATTTTATTAATTACAAAATTTGTTAATGATCACAATTAGAAAATAATATTTCATGATAAAAAATTTGTTTAAATAAAATATATTTAAATAAATTAAAATTTTTAGAAAATATTAATATATATTAATCACAGATAATTTCAATTAAAAATTATAATTAATAAAACTTTGTATTTCATTAGTTTAAATGTAAATAAAATGATTTATTAATAAGAAATATATGATATATTCTTAAGAATTAATTAATCAATATTCTTAAGAATTAATTAACTTTTACGATATGTATGCATTTATATCTATTACATCTATCTATGATTATTAATTACTACGAATTGTATAAAATTTAACTAATGAATAATATAATAATAAATGATATTAAAATAAGATTTAATTTTAAAATGATTTTTAAGAAAATATTTCGTTTATATTTACATATATATATTTTTTATTTATTATATATTATATATATTGTATAATATTTTTTTAATATAAATGTCATTGTTTAATAAAAAACATTGAATATCTTATAAATACGCAGTCATAAGTGTATAACTATAATTAAAGTATATAAATATTAAAAATATGATTTTTAATATTTATTAAAAATATCATGTTAAAAATTAAAATCATACATGTACAAGATTTAATAGAGAAAGATCATTCTAAACAATGCAGAGCATTGTTTATTAATCATAAAGAGTCTTACAAAAAATTAAATTAATATTATAATTGCTACTTCAGTTGTTTTTTATAGCAATTATCATGGTAAAATTTTAAAAAATTATTAATAAATTAATAATATAATATTAATGTATTTCATTTCTTTGTAATTTTGGCTAAAATATAAACGATGCGTTATGCTTCATCTGACATCTATTGTTCAAAACTTGAATGACAATGCTTATATTATAATAAATGTTTATATGTTCGGTACAAGTTTGAAAAAAATGTAAATTTTAATTTTTTTTAAGTAAGTAAAACAATGACTATAATATATAATATATTATTATAATTAATATATTGAAATAATTTATATGGAATAATAAATTATAGTGAAATTATAGTATAATTTTAATTTCTGTCAATGTTTCAAGATTGATATTAAGATAAGATTGATATTATATTTAAAGATTGATATTATCTTTGAGATTTCTCACTTTCTGTCATTTTTCTTGTATTTATTTAATCAACTATCAATATTAATTTTTTTAAATATAAGTTTCATATCATACCTCTCAACATTTAGTGGATATTTCTCTCTTCTTTTTTCCTCGATCGTTTACTGCGTAATTCATTGCAATTAGTGATTAATAGTGATTAAATTAGTGAATAAAAACTTAAAATTAGTTTTTATTTTCGAATTGACTTGGAATATCTAGAATATATCATTATCGATTGAATATTGTACCATATATATCATATGATTTTCCATATATGTATATAAAAATATAAATAATTGTACTTATTGAATATTAATGAATTATATTTATATTATATAATTATAACAATTAAGTTATAGCAATTAAATTCTTATCTGATCTCAAATAATTATATCAATGAATTAAAAGTCACTTATTTCTAAGGATATTAAAAAATTTGCTTATTAACTATACATGATATAATATGTATATATTATATAAATGTTAATAATATATATATATATATTAAATGTTGATATAACATGAATGTTATGTATTATTCAAACAATTTGGTTTTCCAAATCATGTTGATTTCAATTCAAATTATTTATTATTATTATTATATTCAATTCAAATTATTATATACTAAAATAAATTATACTATTAAAAATTAAAAAAAAATAAGTATTAATAATGATAAAATAATTATGAATAAAATTGTTTCATTATGTTATAAACGAAAAAAATATTTAATATTTAATGTAATTTAATAAAATTTAATATTTTTTATATATATTTTATTCATTGAAAGATTGTTTAATTATGTTATATTTTTTATTACATATTTAATTATAAAATCATAATAGTTAACATATATCAAATATTATAATATATTAGTATAAAAAGAACATAAGATTAATTATTGCTTCTTTGTTATTTTTAATGAAAAATTTTTTTTAATAAGAAAAAAAACAAATATCTCGAATTATCTATAATTATTACAATATTATCCAAAAATATTATTCAAAAAGCGAATAAATGTTATGCGAATTCGTCATCACTAAATGAGTTACACAGACATAATACACATACGACATAAATTCAACATCACTATTGGTCGAATAATTTACATTTACAAGTGATGCTGAATTCGTGTCACATTATAAGTACTTACTATACGTGTAGTCGTGGCTCACTCAACGTTCATTTCTTACAGTTTCTTACAGTTTCTTACAGAATATAAGTTTCTGTACTTGTGAAATTTTTAAAATAAAAATATTGTAAAAGCAAGTTATAATGGTATCAAACGTGATTGATTTTTACAATGATAAAACTATTTTTATTACTGGTGGAACAGGCTTTCTCGGAATTTGTTTAATCGAAAAATTATTGAGATCCATTCCTGATATAAAAAATATTTATTTGTTGTTACGACCAAAAAAAGGGAAACAAATAGATGAAAGATTGGAAGACTTTAAAAAAAATTCGGTAAGAAATATATATTCTAAATATGCATTATATGTTATGATATTATTGAATTATTAATATATTAATTTTTTCTTTGAATCATAATTTTTATTTATCTTATCTAAAAAATATCAAAATATTTATACTTTTTCAATAATTAATTAATATTAATTAATATTTTAATAAATATGAAAATATTTTCATTCATTATTATTTTAAAGTATAATTGTGTGTCAAAATTATATGTGCAATACATATATAAATTAGACATTTTTTTATATGACTTTAACTTTGAAAAGTTATATGTTTATTTCATAAATATTAAAATATTTAATAAATGATATTAATTAATTTTAAATTATATTATATTCTTTTATTTTACATATATTATTATTTTAGGTATTTGATAGATTAAAAGAAGAAAATAAAATAGAACTTTTAAAAAAATTAATTCCTGTGGCTGGTGATATAGGAGAAGAAAATCTAGGATTATCATCCTCAGATAGATTAACTCTTGTTGAAGAGGTTCAAATTGTTTTTCATTCTGCAGCAACATTAGATTTTGAAGCAGATTTAAAAACTAATATAAATATTAATTTATTGGGTACACGAAGAGTTGTACAGCTTTGTCAAGAAATAAGAGATCTCAAAGTAAAATATTTAGTTAAATGATTATAATTTATTTTTTACTTAATATGAAATATAATTTCTTTTTACTTTTTATTGTTCCAGGCTCTGGTACATATTTCTAGTGCATATGTAAACTCAACATTATGTGAAGTACAAGAATATTTATATCCTGCACCATTTGATGTAAATGAATTATTTGAACTTGAAGAAAAATTAGATAATATAACTTTAGAAACTAAAAAACAACATATAATAAAAGATCATCCAAATTCTTATACATTTACAAAACATTTAGCTGAACATGAAGTTAAAAATGGTGGTATTTTTGCTGCTATTGTACGTCCATCAATGAGTATGTATATTAAATATGAAATATGTTCTTAAATATTTATATTTAGTAATTTTATTAGTAAATTAATTAAAATAAAATTTAAAGAAAGAAAATTATTATAATTATATATAATTTTAAATATTATATATTTTAAATGTTTTATATTTATAGTTATAGGATCATGGAAAGAACCAATGCCTGGATGGACAATATCGAAAAATGGACCTCAAGGATTTTTAATGGGTGCTAGCAAAGGTGTTGTAAGAAGGTTACCAGTTGCAAAAGAATTAATTTATGATTATATTCCAGTAGATATTGTTGTAAACAATATTATAATTGCTGCTTATGCTGTTAATCAAGATAGGTATATTCAAATTTCTAATAAAAATGAATTAGAATATAATGAATTAGAATTAATATCTATGTATAATATCATATTTTTATGTTTTTCTGAAATTATTTCATTATTATTTCAATAATATTTCTTTGTTGCAGAAAGAAAGAGTTGAAAGTATATCATTGTACATCTAGTACATGTAATCCATTTAAATGGAATTTTATAGAATCAAAAATCAATAATTATTTACATACATATCCATTGCAAAGTGCAGTTTGGTATCCACATCTTAAATTTTTGTCTTCAATTTTTTTATTTAAGATCTCTGCAATATTTGTGCATTTAATTCCAGCTTATATTTTGGATACAATTACAAAGTTAGCTGGTGGACGACCAATGTAAGTTATAAATTATAATAATTTCATGTAAAATTATTTCACGTAAAATTATGTATAAATAAAATTAATAAGAATATTTATGTTTTCATAGTTTGGTACGATTACATACAAATATTAATAACTCATTGAATCGATTAGAAAAATTTATCTTCACTGAGTGGAAGTTTTATAATACTCGCACAATTGAATTACATAATTCTTTATCTGATCTTGATAAAAATCTCTTCAATT